AGGGATGACTCATTGGCTCAGTAACCCTGCTGCAGTACTAAGGCAGCACCTCTTTGGTTTCTTATTAACCTCCGAGTAAGTTTCAGAACAAACATGAGAACAACGCTTCAAATTATTGATCTGCAATGTCATCTGTCGAAAGAAGCTTACCCGCATTTTCTTGTTGCTTGCAAAGCGATCTACCGAGAAGACACAGCACAATAACAGAAAAATAAAGCATCGTCGTCTTGAAAATTGTCGTAAAACGGTACAGCGTCAAACGACTGCTGATGTCAAGTTCCCATGAGAAGTCTGAGATTCAAAGCGCCTACAAATCGATGACATGCATGAATGAAAATCGCCAGAAGACACTTTATGCAAATCGCATTCTAAGTAGTGCATGAATATGCCACTGGCAACGCCGTATGAACGAATTGATGTCCGATGTGCGTCTTTGCCATTGTGTAATTCAGAGCAGTTATGAGAACGAATGCGTCCTATGGGGCATGAAAAACAGAGTCACCTACTTTGAATCACTTACCGTGAACGTGTTTGCGTGTGGTACGGTTCCGCGGCTACTTTGAAGTCGTCAACGTCATAAAAATCGAAAACGCAAAGAAACATTCATATATACCATACTGTAATTTTGACACTGCACTTCCATAACGAAAGGCTTCAGTTTCGATACCCACGTAAATGCACTTTTCGTCGTCAAATACACCTAGGTATGACCTCGTTTCATGATGTTTGGCACAGTCAAACGGATCTTCAGGATTGGACGATTAATTGCTGTTCGTGCGAAAGTTACCCAACCAGATGTTAGACGCAGGTGGGCATTTTTTCTCGTGGTCCGTCAGCCAACCAGATTTTAGACACGGGCGGTTCCTTCCTGGCAGTGCCCTGTGGGCGAATCAATTCCTATTTTCCTGGTGGCTTCGTTATCTGTATGGAGCGGCTGGCGCACCAATGGTTTTTATCAGTTTGACTGTTCTTCATGCCAAAGGGGCCACCACGTAGTTGACTTATACATTTGTAGAATTCATCACTGCAGCACATTATCGAATGGAACTCTGTCTCAGATCCACTAGCTCATCCCCTGTGCCTGACTGTAGACGGCTGGCCTCCTGCGATTACAATCACAAGCAGCAGCTTTCCTTTTCGCTGTTGTGTGTTTTCAACATGAAGCTGACGTCTTTCGTGAAACCTGGGCTTACCAAAATTTTTCAACGGATGATTTGAGAGCAAATAAAGCACAAATCGTTAACACGTCTCAAAAGCATAAACGTTGGAAAAATGAGGTGTCTATAATATGATATCTTGAGTGCTTCTTTGTTGTTTACCTGATAAGTCGCAGATTTGGATATCCTATCCGCCTGCTCAATTTTCCATTTGAACCTACTATTCCGAGGCGTTTACAAAGATTTGAACAATATGGATGGTCTTGTTCTTCTTATAAGTCACGTGAGTGCCATCATATTTGTTCAATCTGTCAGTGACGGTGCGGTTCATGGTTGTTTAACAGTCCTATTGTATTTTGGGTTTAATTTCATATATTTGCTTGTTAATTTTTGCAGATGTTTGGTCTCTTTGTAAATGCTGAAAAACATAATTCTTTGGGGCTTCTGTTCATGAAACGATAATCATTTTTGTTGGCACAGATAATGCTCGTAAACGATGTCGCTGTCTTAGCCATTTGGTTCAGACCAAGCGTTCCCTTCAGAGATATCCGCATATCATTTTCAAAAACAAACATATCAAAGCAGTCATCCTTGAAGACCAGTTTTTTCATGCAATCAGGCGTTTGTTATGCAGTCATCTTCTCAGAAACCAGCAACCATAAATACTAATAAAGTTAAGTTAAAACAATACGACTGGTATCTCCTAAATCGCATCAAACTTTCCGGCGACCTTAAAGATTATATTTAATAAATTTAAACAACATGGCATAGAATTATGAGACAGCTGATTGGCAGACTTGAACTGGAATCAAAGAAAGCTTTCAAAATGACTCAAAATCAATCGTCGCCTGGTCAGTTAAGCAGCTTGCATTAGAGTTGACCGCTTTTTTGGGCATTACAGTTGATGAGACCATAAATTATCTTTTATCCATTTGATGAACATGTGCACATTTGTATAAACACCGGGTTTCTTCGGAGATGCACATCCCTCACCCCAGCTAGTAATTCCATGCAGTTCGTATTCGCCATTTTTGTTCAGGCACGATAACGGACCACCACTGTCTCCCTAAACGTGATCAAGTGAGTATAAACAAATCCACAACACAAAATAAGGAACGTTCATTTTTATGCCCAAAGTAGCTCTGATATTTATACCGAGAAATAATCTAGATTATTTATTAGAATTTTTATCGACAGGATCGAAAACTAGCAGTTTACTAATAAACTTACAGTACTCGATTATTCTTACGTATATATACGCCTTTGAATATTGGACATTTCTAGAGGGGTCTGGACAGGTTTTTGTTAGGTCTTGCTTACCGATGCGGTTTTGCATTCCTGCACTATAGGTGCTAAAATACCATGGAGCCCTGACCTTTTTAGACTGTGCCATAGGCCATTAGCAACAAGGTAACCATGTAAGTCTGGAGAATTGGCAGAGGTATATTCATTTTATGATCCACATAAGACTCTCTGAATGTTGACGCAGTAA